TGAAATATGTTAATTAACTTTGTTAATATAAACATTAAATCAGCAAAAAATTTTGTAGAAATAACAAACTCATAATCAAAATTGTCAAGTAAATTTTTAGCTAAATTCTGATTGGATGGTTTTTCACCAAATTCAGCATCGTAATGCAATGCATCAATCACTGAATCTAGAATTTGATGTAGATTTTTTACATAATTGGACATTGATAACCATCTTGTATTAACTATATTAAGAATATTTAATTGAGGATCTTCTAACACATCTTGTATCATTTTTAAATTTTGCATTCTCCATTAAGAATTTGTAAAATAATGATCTAATTTTTTGACACTATTTTTATATTGATTAAAATATGGAACACATTTTGCTGTATCTTTTCCAGCTAAATGTAATCTATGCGCAATACAATGTACAGATGTAATAAAAGGATTAAGTTCTTGTAATTGTTTAGCAACACCTCTTTTTGTTCCAATTAATGTAGCAGCTCCATCACTACCAAAGTGTAATAAATCTTTAATTTCTAATCCTTTAGCAAGAATAAACTTTTTTAAATCTGAAGTAATTGAATCAGCATTAAGTTCTTCTAAATTGATCATTCCTATATATCGTGTAACTGATACATTATGAGAAATATGTCGTGACACTATAGCTAAATGCTTTTTATCTGTAATAAAATTAGTTTCATCAATCATAACACTCCAACTATTTGAATTTCTTATTTCTTTATGTAATGCTTTTTCAATTACATAAACAATTGCTTCTTCAAATTCTTTAGCAGAAATATTTGATAAATGTGATCCATATTCATTTGATTCAGTTATCAAATTTTTTGAAGCAAGTAATGATAATTGTAATGCTTCAGATATATCACAAAGCTTCATAACTTCAGATTTTTTTTTGTGAAAATCTATTAATTGATATAAATCAGGATATATAGAAAGTGCTAAATATTTTTTTGCTGCAAAGTATATACACTGCATCTGTGATACTATTTTAATTTTATCAGCATCTAATTGACGTGAAAATCCAATTAACAAATTACTTTGATAAGGTTTTCTTGCTTCAGCTTCAGCTTTATGCTCATGATGAGTAAGATGTCGATCAATACTTTGTTTTCTATAATTAATAGTTCCTTTTGCAAGTTCATTTGTATATTTTTTTGCTTCACACCACTTACAAAACATGTGTATTATTCCATTTATATCTCTGTATTCTAACCAAGCATTATTACCATTATCCATCCATTTTGGATCAGGGTTATTTCTATATTTACGACGTTTTACTTCATGTTTTTTGCTTGAAGATGATTCTTTAGGAGTTTCAGGTGGTGTTGGTGATTTTTGTTTACCTTTTTCAGTTGTCAAAAAATATCTTTGCATTGTAAAAAAAAAAAAATTTAAAAAGTAAGTTTCTTAAAGTTAATCTATTTAATTGGTTTATAATAGTTTTGTGAAACTACTTAACATTAATATTATTACTAATATAGGTAAGTGTGACATAATTATCTAATCTATTATTCTAAATTAAGATTCGTAACAAATGTTTACACTATACTGTTTGCAACTGTTTGCATTGTGTGGCAACTGTTTGCAACTGTTTGCACTGTGTGGCAACTGTTTGCACTGTTTGCACCTGTTTGCACTATAAAAAAAATTGTGCGGATAGGCAAACATCTTTCCAAAAATAGTGTGCGCAAATTATAAAATTCTGGGCGATGCGTACAGGCCGCACAATATAAAATAATCACTGGTAGTCTTCTTCCAATTTTATATAATAATTACGGAGAATACTACCTGAATATACATACCTAGATATATACTAGTGATAAGATAGCCTTCTTCTGTCACAATATTTATATAATGATTACGGAGAAGGCTACCCTAAATATCACCTACTAAGAATCAATTTATTTGTGATTCTCTTGTTAAAAGAAATATATTACTTACCCAAATTTATACTAGTAATAGGGTAGCCAAGTGCCAATATTTCTAAAGAAGTCTTCATATCATACCCGGGTATATATTTAGGTAGGTAAAGCCTTCTTCCATTATTTTATATAAAGATTTTGATGAAGGCTTCTCTTTCAGATATATATCTGTTTCCCTTTCATTTACGATTTGTTAACTAAGTTTGCTATCACTTTGTATCTCTTTTTGGTATACCTCTATATTACGTGAAGGCTAATAACATATTAGAGTACATATCTAGAAAAGTATAGTCTTCTTTCATTATTTTATATAAAGATACTGAAGAAGGCTACACTTTTCAGGATATACCAAGTTGTATTTCTGGTATGTTTTCAGCTATGTTACTTACCTGAATTCATACTAGTAATAGGGTAGCCAAGTGCCAATATTTCTGAAGAAGCCTTCATATCATACCCAGATACATATCTAGGAAGAATAAGTCTTACGCAAAGACTATACCATAGCCGAACACATATCTAGAAAGATGGAGTCTTCTTTCAATTTTTTATATATAGATTGCGAAGAAGGCTCCATCTTTCAGATACATATCCACTTATCTTCCCTTTACGATTTGCTTACTAGCTTACTATACGTCTCTTTTTGTGTCTATCGAAAAAATTAATTAAACATTTCAGAAATATATTGTGATATAATAACTTTACCTACCGTTAACATGCATACCTCAACTATTTTTGACCAAACTGATCGCACTAGAACTGGTTCTCTCGCCCACTATGACGGCGCTGAGTCTTTAGCTGGTAGCCCATTACATGGCAGAATTCGATAACTAGATGACTGCTATACTTTAGCAATGCTTATCTAATAAGCAACCTGTATACTTTATGCCTACTGCTGTAAGTGATGAGACTGAATACATTAAGGGAGTATCCACCTATATTTTACGTATTAGTGGTTGTTTGATTAATAGGCAAAAGACTATCATGAATGTTATTGACATTAAACCTTTCTTTGATGTCATAGTACCTGAAGAGACATCATTATCTATATTTAAGACTATATTAGTAAATATACTGTCTAATACCCTCAAAGGTATATCGAAATTAAAGATCAAGCATATTAGCGCTTTTCCACTTTAAGGGTATCATACAGAAAAGAAACCATATATACGTGTTACTACTTGTAATCATTTTGATCGATATAAGGCATTAAAAATAGTTCATGAAGTTAGTATTAGCATCGCTTCTGATGACTTAAATCCTACATACTATTATCGCAAAGTAACCTGTGAGAAAAAATTACCTCTTTCAAGCTGGGTGATACTAAGTAACTATTCATACAAAGGAAATTTATCAGCAAATGTTTATTCCTACTAAGTATCTGTGAACAATTACAATTCAATCAGTGAAGATGATTATAATAATCCATTATTTTCCTTGATACTTTTACAGAATCGCATTCTTGTTTTCACATGGGATATCGAAATATATAACTCATAAAAAATAGGTGATATACCTAATGCAAAATACGAAGAAGATATTGTGTTTATGATTTGTATGACAGTTCATTAGAAAGATGATCCTGAACTGTTAAAGCAAATCTGTCTTGTTAACGTTGAAACTGCACCAGACCACAGTTGATTACGATTATATGCGAATCTCAAGTTAATTTATTAAAAGCATTTGCTTTATGCTATAAACTTTTAGCCTCAGATATACAAATAGGCTTTAACGATTTTCAATATGATTGGCGATTTATTGTGAAGAAAGCTAAGAAGTTGGGAGTTCTTGAATGGATGTTTAATCATATGTCAATCAAACCATCTGGTATTGAGAAAATTTTAAAATGGCAATATCAATATAATGCGATAAAGGTTAATGATGGATAATTTCATTCAAAGTATCTTAAAATTCCGGGATGTGTAACTATTGACGTTTGGCCTTGTTTTATCAGATTTCATCCCAAAGCTGAAAAGAGTAGCCTGGAATTTTACTTAAACGAATCTGAGCTTGAAAGTAAATTGGATATGCCTATTCACTGTATGAACAAATATTATGAAAAAGCATTAAATGAAACAAATGCTACAACGGCTGAGCAAATGCGTGAAGTAACCAAATATTGTATTATTGATGCTATTAACTGTCAGCGATTAATGGTAAAGCGTAATACAATTAACAAATACAGGGAGGTAGCATCTGTAGCCTTTATATCATTATATGATTCACATTATTTTGCAATAGAAATGAAAATGCGCAATATTTTAAGTGCCGATGCGTGGCAGAAAGGGATTTTAACTAGCATAATTTCATGTAAACAAATGAAAACAATGAAGTTTCCTGGGGCCTATGTTTTCCCACTGGTAAAGGGTCTCAAAAATAAATGCCCTGTAACTGGCTTAGATTTTGCATCATTGTATCCAAACCTTATCATGACATACAATCTCTCACCTGATAAAATCATTTTATTTTGAGAGCATGCTAAATCTCTAAAGGAAAGTGGTAAAAAGCTTCATAAAATTAATTTCAAATTCAATAGTCGCAATATTCTCGCATGATCTATAGAGCATAAAAACCAAGCTGAAATAAAAGGCCTTTATCCAAAAGTATTAGAGGAGTTGCGTATTAGATGAAATTTGCTAAAAAAACGTCTTGCTCTATTAAATGATAAAAAGGAAGAATTAGAAAAGAAGATTAATTTAGCAGAAGAAAGAGGCATAGTTGTTACAAATACTTTAAAATCTGAATACTCTTCAGTTGTTTTTAATATCGCTTATCTAGACGTAAAATAGCTCGCTTTAAAAGTGTATATGAATACATTTTATGGTGAAGCTGAGAATAGTGAATCCCCTTTCTTCTTACGAGTATTAACAGGTGGGGTAATATCAGCTGGTCAGCAGAATATCAAGCTTATTGCCAATCTTATTAGAAGTAAAAGGTTCAGTGTAAAATACAGGGATACAGATTTCTTATACCTTGTCTGTCCAGAAGAATGTTTTCAGAAATGTGATGAGGCATATGACAATGGTAATGGGATCTCAAAAGAAGAATATTGGTCTAGAATAGTGAATAT